ATCGTTGATTGTACTGGCAGAGGAGGCTTAGTTTTGTATAAAGATAATATGGCGCTTTAAGGATAAGGGTCTTATGTACCAGAGATAGGCAATGCAGTTTCCTCAATTTGTTCATCTTAAGCCATCCCGACTGGTCAAAAGCGCTACTAATATGATCAAATTTACGGATTCCAAAAGAAAATCTGATGCATGAGTTTTGTATCATCTGAATCCGCTCGGCATCACGTTGTAAAAGAGCAGGTCCATAAACAGAGTCACCGTAAGATAATTTTGACAGGATAAGGGACTCGCAGAGTTTAAGCTTGAGCTGTGTCGACAGGACACTTCGACTCGGGTATAACTGACGAAGCACATTATAGGACGCATTGCATAGTTGGTTAACATGTTTAGTGAAGCGTAGCTTGCAGTCAAACCAGATACCAAAGTTTTTGCATTCGTTTACAAAGGATATGTCTTCATTATTCACCATAATATTAATGCGATATTGATTTACTTCACGATTCTTTTTGGGCCCAAATAAAATGCAGCATGATTTGCTAGGATTTAGTTTTAGATTGTGAGCACTAGATATGTCAAAAATAGACTGCAGATCTTGATTGATTTGATGTTGGCCAAGCATATATTCATCAGGATCGAAGCAGTTATAAAGTTGGGTATCATCGGCGTAATGATGAACGATTGAGTAGCTGGCGGTTTCATGAAAATCACATATATACAGAGCAAATAAAAGGGGACTCAAAATAGATCCTTGAGGGACACCAAAATTTCTGAATAAAGAAGTTGATATATTGTTTTCATATATGACAGACTGTGAGCGATCAGTTAAAAAGCTCTTAATCAGCGTGCAAGCCGATGATGACAGGCCAAAGTATCTAAGCTTTTTACAGAGAATATTTGGGTCAACCGTATCAAAGGCCTTGCTAAAATCAAGAAGAACTAAGCAGGACAGCTTTCCTTGATCAGCCGCGCTATAAATATTATCCGATATAGACAGGAGCGCAGTGGTGGTGCTATGAAATGGTCTGAAGCCAGATTGGGAGGTGGTCAGTAAATAATTTTGACAAACAAATGTGTGCAGCTGCTCATGTAGAGCCATTTCTAAAAGCTTAGATAAACTTGGTAAAATGCTTATAGGACGAAGATCAGAAAAACATGAAGGATAATTAGATTTAGGCAGAGGGAGAACAAGAGCATTCTTCGAGGAAGAGGGATAAAGACTATTTGTTATACAAAAGTTAATAATGAAGGTAATATTCCTGAGCAAATGCTTATGTATTATACGGATCATATCAATTGTGATGCCATCTGAGCCTTTAGCATGACTTTTGATGCGATTGATAAATGTCTCTTCAGTGGCAGGGGAAACTGTCGTGAACAGAAAAGTACCACTATTCTTGACGTTTTCATATTTGTCTAAAAGGTTCAATTGAGTTAATGATTTGGTTGTTTGAGGTACGTTTAAAAAAGCACTATTTAATGAATCGAGATCCTGAAGATGTTGAGGTAGACTTATGGAGTTATGTTTAACGATATTCAAAGATCTAAGTATATTCCATGTAGTCTTCGAATTTTTATGTCTCATAACATAATCGAGGTAGGCTTTTTTCTCTCGCCTAATAGCACCACAAACATAATTTCTGATTTTCTTATAGAATTCCCAGGCAGCAATCGTTCCTGTTCGCTAAGGAGCTGATGGCTTGGTAACTCGAATGTTTCTGACAGGAGCATGCAAGTTGAAGGTGCACAAGATATTAGAGCTCAGGAAGTCAATCATTTGATCCACATCTCTCAACGTATATATAAAATCCCAGTTTATTAAAAGTATTAAAAGTAAATCATGGTAGAAATTGTCTAGGCTAAAGGTAGAGTAATCACGATATGTCCTCAGTTTACATAGGTTGCCTATCTCCGATGCATCTACATAAAATATTAGGGCTAGATGTTCAGATATTCCATCTACGTCAACAACTTCATAACCACTAATTATATCAGCAGAGCTAACCATGAGCAAGTCTATAGCTGTCTGGCTATTGGAAGTTATACGTGTGGGCTCTTTCACTAACTGAGACAGATCAAAAGACTCAAGAAAACAGTTCAGCATCTCGGATCGGCCATCGTTCACTGAAACATTAATATTAAAATCGCCCATGACAATTGCGTAATCATTATCGAGTGAAAGGTTGGTTAAAGACTCAGTTAATTGATGAAAGCAGTCAAGCACGTTTGCCGATGGTGGACGGTAGACTATAGCTAGACAATATTTGCGTTGATTAACCTTTACAGAGATCCAAAGTTCTTCCAATACTGTGGTGATATTAGAGTGCAATATTTTGAAGGCAATACCATTTCTCACATAAAACGCGACGCCCCCGCCTCTGCTATTTCGATCTGCTCTAACGACATTGAAGTCGTTGATAAATACTGAGGAGGAATCAATATCTGGGGTTAGCCAAGTCTCACTGAGACCCAGGACATCGACAGCACAGTCAACAACATACTCCTTCAAAGTTTCAAAATAGTAAGAGTCCTCATTCTTTAATATGTTATCATAAGTGCTCGCTAGTTTCCTGGAACGAGCATATCCTCCAAGATAACAATCATACATATACAGTATGTTAGAATGAGTATTACATAGATTTTTCACCATAGGTAGTTTAAATGGACCGGCTCAGTGTTTTCTGGTGAGGAAACCGGTTGCTACTGGTCCGAATTCTGTCTAATCTGTGAGACTTGGTCAATCGGGGAATATGGAGTCAAACTACAGGTCGAATCACTTATCCGGGCAGGCTTCATTAAGCCAGCATTGTCAGGTATACTACCTATGATGAGTGGCTGTATAATACTGGTGATAACATACTGAATGAGATTTAAAGGCTCATTTTATATTCACTTACACAAGTCTATAAGATTTACACAAGCAATTTGGAGGTCCGATCAGATATATAATTATGGAATCAAGAAGAACTACGAGATGAATAGAAAAACGCCGTAAGCTGTCCAATTCACAAAAAAAGTGATAAAAGTTCATGCATATAAGATACTAGCACCTCAACTCAGGGACAGATTGAGCACGCATGAAGATGAGGTCATAGCTGAACATCAAGGAGGTTTTAGAAGAGGCAGGTCCACACTATACCAAATATTTATGATGAAACAGCTATTTTACAACACCTATGAACAACATATACATATTATTTATTGATTTGAAGCAAGCGAATGATTCCATTGACAGAGAAAAATTATATGAAGTTGTGAGACTGCTAGGAATACCAAATAAACTAATAAGGTTAGTCAAAATGACAATCGGGTCAATGAACAAGGTCCCATTGGAAGGGAACATGTCTAAAGCTTTTGGCGTAAAGAGAGGCCTGAGACAAGGGAACCCGCCATCTACAAAGTTTTTTGACTTTACGCTGGAAACTACGTTACGTTTTTACGGGTGTGGTATACAAACCGACAGAGTTATTTACGATAGAAATCAATTGATTGCTTATGCCGATGATATATCAATAATAACGAGATTCAAAGCAGAACTTGAACAGATGTTAGAAGAAGATTAGAAGAAACTACCAAACGTTTTGGGCTCCAAATGAATGAAGACACAAAATTCCTAGAAATAGGAGGAAGTGATCGAAGTAAGTTATGTAAGAATGAAGTGCTGAATTATATTTATATACAGAAATCTATAATATAAAATGAATGATTTCACTATAAAGAGAACTGGTCACAAAGGGTTAAGGTTATTCAGAAAGATGTCGAAGATTCTCGTGTAACTGCAATTTCGACCAAAGACCGCATTTTCGGTAAACTGGATTTGTAGACCACAAATCTGATTTTAGTTCCAGGTAAGCGATGGATCTCATCATACTCGTCTAGTCCAAGTGGTACCCATATAGGTGAGGTTCCTCTGATATATCGCATGTACATTAAAATCGTTGGACTTGAATCCACGAGATACTTTATTGAGTATGCTTCAAATACTAAGCTGAGCCAATCACCGTAAATACCAACATTTGGCATGTCGATCATGCTGGATACGTTCACACTACAGCAGCACTGCAAAGTCAGACGCGAGAGCGGGTTTTCATTAACATTTACAATTTGGTATGGCTTCTACCATGTTAAGTAATAATACTACTGGGTGGGATGGCTTGCTTGATACTGAATATATTAAGACTGACGTGGTCCAAATAAGGTTGAAAATTCGAGAAATGGCGCAGGATTTATTGTGAGCAAGCAACCTTTTCAACAAAAAAGTTGAATGCTAAAATTACCGCAAAACTATGAGACTTTCACTAAAGCAACGTTTTTCCATGACAGTTCACGCCGTAACCTATTTGCAGTTGCAGGATTATCTTTCGGTGTTCAGACAGCCTGAATGTTGGTTGGTCTTTGGAAAATCCAGAAAATTTGGCCTCTATTGTTCATACTTAAAATCGCAAAACATGTCGCCGAGTTTGCAGTCCGACATGTTGATGGCGGCCATTTTGTTCGACGATACACGACGTGTAGGAGGCTTGATATTAAATCGATTACTCGGAGTGAGACAAAACTTGTTTTAACCAGCATTTCAGTCACTCGATGCGGAAATCTAAAGGAAACCGACAGAATTCAAGAAAACGATCAACTTAGGAGTACAATAGGGGCGGATCTAAGATGGCGCACATAGTAGATAAAATGTATGCTCCTAAAATCATTACGATCCAGCAACTCTTCTTCCCACCCCCTCTTCAACAATAGTAGGATTCCATACAAACTTTACGTTTCTATTCCTACAGATCCTAGATCCACAACTGGAGTACTCGCTCTAAAGACTTTATCAATTCAGAATGGGATAAGCTCACAAAAGTATGGAACTGGCCAAAGTATTATTTATGGCAGTATTTTGTATAAAGTACAATGAACATGATGTCACAGAGACTATATACTATTGATACCATGCATGACGTAGTATTGATCCGAAGCATCCGATGACAGGCAAGTAGTGCTCTGGTACTCACCGTCGTACTGAGCGCTGCCCGTTCCTTCGCTGAGCTTATAATCTGACGTGTTGAAGGCAGCCATCTTGGAACTACCACACAACGATGCCATACGCTGCATGATGGACAATTGAACCAACCCGACGTACCAGGAAGACTTCTGCTCGGCACGAGGTGGAGTAGGATTGCGATCTGGACGATGGAAAAGGTCCCGTAGGGTTGACCTATATTCTCGGGGGCGGCTGGCGCGCAGGCTTCGATACGGGGCGGTTTGCTAGAAAGGGGCGGCTCCTACCGCCTCCGCTGCCTAGGAAACCAGGCAGCGTAGGAGGGGTGATCAGTGGCAGAGGTGGCATGTTGGAGAAGTGTCGCCAATGGAACAAGGGTTTTTAACGATTTTTTATGTATTTCACAAATTTGGGCGAAGTTATCATGAAGCGTATCATTGTGAAGATACGCAGGTTGCATTAGCAATTAGTATCTACAATTAAAGGGCTTGATATCATAAGGTACCCAAGCCACATTTCAATAAAAGGCCACATTTCCTTCTAAAAGTTGTCGTTTTAATTTCTAAAAGGCGTTTATGAACAACCTAGATATCCCACACATGTTTACGTTAAGAAAGCTATAAGCCATCCAAATTTCAAGATAAGCACTAAACGAAAATTGGTCGCTACTGAAGACAATGGATCTCTAATAATACACAGAACAAAGATAGTTCTCGATTTAGTTTAGACTATAGTGTGAAGGACAGACACTATCATCCGACTGACAGCAGTTCTGATAGGGACTTTGAGCGAGCGGAAAAAGTTGTGACTTATGACTTTATTGCCGTAATTGAGATGGCTTATGCATTTTTACGTAGGAAAACTATGTTTTGTTAGTTACACAATTCCACTAGATCTATTCATCAGAATACACCATTATCCTTATTGAGAACGACTATCGTAGACCGTGAATGGCTTTAATAGATATCAATAATATGCAACTTTGTTATGACTGATTTAATGCTCTTCTTGACCAAATAAAATGTGTGGCTTGTAACCCCCTGCAGTTTTCGGGAATAATGAACATTTTTTCAAAATAGAGAATGCATCTGATACAATTCTAGTGGAAAAAATAACCTTTAGACGGCTCCATATCTGACATGAAAAAAAATTTAATGAAATGTGCTGTTGCAAGTCTGACATTGACCACCCAAATTATATATATAAGACAAACCATTTTCAAATTAGCCTTGGAGTACACCTTTTTTTTCAATCAGCCACCAAGCCGGAAAAGACTTTATCTTACGAAAATCTTTTATATTTGTTGGATTCTGTGGTCCCTAAATCTTTGTTCCTTAAAATGTAACCCGATTGTAGGATCGCAACAGAAATGAAAAAAGAACCGAATTCAGGATTTACGTAGAACCTGTAACCTTAGATTTTTTGAAATGAAGTCATCCGGCTTTGGTACCGTATTGCCCCAAGCCCTGCATTTCACGTTTTCAGACGAATTCATCATAAAACGTATCACTGTGGATATACGCAGCTTGTATAAACAATTAGTTTCTACAATCAGTTACTTCATAAGGAAATAACCTGGAAACATATTGAATTTGAGATATAAGAATTAGTCGATTTGTCCAGGAGCTGTCATTGAGATCGCAGATGCGCAAGAATTTTTGTTTTTTTTTATGAAAAATTTTATAGTATGTACTTAGAATTCCTGCATGGACATTGCTGGACTAGATGTGTTCTATCCTATCCTTAGCCCGTGTATAACTTGAGACTACTTTTCAGAAAAAAATCTGTGAGGGTTGAGGGGGTGGGAGATGGCATATCTGAACTTTTTAACGTCAGTTTATGGAAAGGTGGGGAATTAATTTAATCAATCTAATGTTCATAGATCTTTTGGAACATACTGACGTTTTCCAGCTGAATATTGTTTCACTAAAACACAAAAATATAAAATAACTATTTATTACACGAAAGCGGGGACATATTCTAGGAACCTTTAGAGTCAAAATAGAAGTTGTTATGACTCAAGTTAAAGTTTTGACTGGCCTATTTCAGGATCTATCAAAATGTTGACTTGTCTTCATTGTTTTGTTCAATGTTGTGTTACGTATTAAATTGTGTTGGCAATCCTTAGATTGGAACTGAGCACTTAAAAAAATGGAAGAAAGGTGAGATACATGTCCTCTCGCAACGCCGATAAAAAAATTGCTTCTATTTCAGTGGAAAATGGTGTAAAATTATCTAAATTTGATGAACTAAGCGTCCATTTTTGTTATCGGAGTCTACATGCGAACAAAGTCCTATTCATATAGCAGTCGCCAACCTATCAGTGACGGTGTCCAAGATTCTGTCACATAAATGTTGTTCACTCTGCTACGCTATATAAGACGTAATTCACATGGATCCCACACAGTCACCGACACGTCACTGTACGAGCGAACCTTGGGTAATTTGAGACGATGTATCCGAAAAATTTACGCAGCAAACGATTTGTCGTGATGCGCAGGTATTTTCGAAAACATTTTATCGTACATTTTTTAGTAATTAGAAATCGGGTAGGAGGTTCCGTTTGTCAGGCGCATCCTCTTTGTGAGTAAAAAATCGCGTAAAAATGCGACTTTGAGGTGCTAAAAATCGATTTTCGCCATTAGTAACTACATTCGAACCAAGCTGTAGAGCAATTACTTTAGTGTATCTTATGAAGCATCAGAAAAATGGCTTATTCGAAAACTTCTTAACTGCTCTACAACCCTCGCTTAGCCTTAGAATTACACTGAACATATGCATATTTCATATACATATATGGCCCTTGGCTTTTGGCACAAAAATTTAACCCGCTTATTGTGAAATATAAACGGGCCTGAAGGAAGACCAGTCCCCGCCTTGTTGTCAAGGAAACAAACTGATCGTTGAGTCCGGTGAGGTAAGCTAATACGATTTTCACTACTACATGGTTTTTTTGGGTGACGTCAAGGTCATACAAGGACATTTTTAAAAAAGACAAGCAAGTCATTTAGAGTTTTCTCGCTACTTAGTCATAATTAGAGGTCAATTAGGCACTATAAAGGCGTCTGAAGGTCATTTTAAGGTCACTTCAAGGACTTATTTAAAAGAGTTCTAGCATTTGGGTTCAGACGCGTGTCATAGAAATTCTGCGGTCGAAATCAAAACCAGTTTGCCTCTAGGCATGCATTTGAAAGGTATTTTAATGCCACTCAAAAGTCAAATTAAAAAAGTTGAACAACCCTTTCCTGCCACAGTATTTGGTATATAATTACTCACGGCAAAGTTACATAGTGCAAAAACTGACACTAAATTTTATCTAGCTATTCACAAACATCATTAACCGAATTGGGGCAAAATACGGAACATTATTAAAAACTGAATACCACTAGTATAAAGAAGTGAAACTAAAAATAACAATCAGTTAAGTTCACGGTGTATAAGACAACAATGATATTTCTAGTAAATTAAATGAAAGTTCATACTCCCTTTGTCATGATCCATATCCAAATGTTTAAATAAATTCAAAACAAAATCTGTTGATGATACAGACACTCTTCTATTTTACCGTTAAAAAGTAGTGTCGAATGGCATAGTACAAACTTCAAGTTTAATTGTCTGCCAAGATGAAGGTAGTGTAATGAAAGATCTGACTCCACGGCGAACTTATAGTTTAAGGTATAAACTTTACAATATGTTATAATTTTCATTCATTTGTAATACTAATTTTTCCAATATTTGTGAGGCTTTGGCTTTACTCACACTTCAAACGGCCGCTATGCTATATGGATCTCAATTCAGACAGGGTAGTGGACATCAAAATACATAAAAACGCATAATTGGTGGAGTTAGATAGCATTACTTCTTAAATTGTGTTACATAAATTATGGGTCTTCAAAACTTCTTAGTTTATGGAAACACGTTAACATTAATTACTCCAGCATACCATAAAACCTTAGAATGATTAGTGACAGCCTTTATTACAGAGCAGCAAAGTTATCAATTTGGACAGGACTTCCGCAAACGTCACTTTGGCTTTGTACAATTAAAACTAAAGAAAATTAGCTCAAAACAGTTTGCGGTTTTGGATTCTCAGTAGCATCACCCTGCAAAAGGTCAAGTAGATGAACTCAATCTCCCCATGTAGCTACATAAATCTACAACGAAATATCGTGTTGTCATTGGTGATAACAGAAGTATGCCGGATATTTTAAATTTGTGCCTCTAAGCATTTTTTACAACTTTCTTGAAGTAATAGAAAGTTGAAAAAGTTTGACATTTTTTGGAAACCTTGACCTCTTCAAAAAATTGCTTTTGACTCGACTCATCAGGAGCTGGAAAAATATTCAGTTCATATTCAGATAATTCAGTTTTCCGCTGATAACTCTGCTACTAACAGACCGATTCGCAAAAGATACAAGCTGTTGTGCCTAAATAGATTCTGAAAATGAATGTTTCCATTAAGAAAATTGGGGCCAATTAAGTTGACCCTGTGCTTTTCACGCAATGCTGTCATCAGTTCTGTTGTATAACATTTTATTTAAACTCGTTTGGTTCAGATCACCGAGGACTTAATCTAGCACGAACACATCTCGTCAATCGCGGCGAAAAAGCTAGGCTATTTGTTTGGGGCTAAGAAATAGTTTTCTACACGTAACCTCCTCATTCTGTACAAAGCCCAAATAAGCCTCGAGTACTGCTCACATGTTTAAGGTGCTGCCGCCCCGACTACATTATTCATACTTGATTCTCTTCAGAGAATGACTGCCCAACTCCTCAGAGGTCTCCTCCATGATGCTGTAGCGCGATGAGCCTGCCAGACATACCCGCCTGACTTCAACCTCCTATCCTAACCGTGTCGAACTTCGGACTTGCAGAACTTGCCAATTCGACAGCTCTTTTGATCATAGGGTATCGAGATTGACGAGCAATCCAGCTGAAGAGGCCTTTCCCAGTTCTACTAATCTTTGGTCGTGAAAACATCGGATTAACAAAGTTTATTTAAGCTCCTAATAGCGGACGCGGTGCCCATAGATTTAGGCTTTTACCTGAGCGGTTGCTTCAGACTAAAAAAATTGTTCACTACCAAAAAGCTAGCATTTACGGCCCCCCATCCCATATAGATCCCAACCTACACTCCAATTTTTTTCCAAAAACGTCAAAAAACGAAACTTTAACGATATTT